TTTACTCCACGAAGAAATGACTTTTGGAGGCTCAGAAGGTGTTATTCGTAATCAGCTCGTTAAACTGAATCTGAATATGTATAATGAAGTCAAAACAAAATTCCACTTGAATTTTGCATTAGCTGAATCTTAAGAGAAATAAGAACGTCAAAATGGAAGAAGAACAGCACTTATATTCTCTTTTACATGTTCTTATCTCTATCTTTGTGTTGTTGGTTTTTTCGTTGTAAAATGCACGTTTCCGACCAATTTGACTTAACTAACGTGTTCGTCTTATAAATAAACGAAGATAAGAATCAAAAAAAAGAAGAAAGAAGCGAATAAATAAGAAAGACAGTGAAGAACTTGTGGTAACTCTCTATTTATTTTCACAAAAATTTCCCGTGATTTCAATAATGATACACACTATTGTGAGTCAAAATTAAATCATCATCGTCTGTTGAATATTTTGCAACGAACTATTGGGACATTGAAGATTTATTAAGCTATTTTCTTATATTGTGGTAATCTCTTTAGACTGGTTTGGACCGCTGATATTCTTCACGCTAAATTTCTTAGCAATGTTATTTTCCAGAGAAAACCGTTTGGGAAAATAAGATCTTTTATATCTTTTATAATCACATTCAAATCAGGTCGGTTTAATAAAGAATAGAGTGGCCTAATGAGAGGATTGGCCTCGTTGAGGATTTTGGCCTTGAAAGATCTCGAAACTATAATTCGGTTTAGGAGGTTATTGTGAGCCTCAGTTTTCTGCATTTGTCAAGAAGATCAAGGATGGAGCTCTTCATCAAAATGTAGGTTACCCTTGGATGTATTTAACCAGCTCATAAAAGTTCTGATTAAAACGAGACGGTTCCCAGCTCTGCACATCCTTTAAGCATCCAGACATGAATTTTACAAAATTCTCGTGTCAAATTCAGTAGAGCATAAAAATCGTTGTTTTCTGTTCTTCAACAAGAAAGACATGTTCTTAAGTATTAAATAACAACACAATAGACGATGCCCCCTCACTAGAAGACTCCCTTGGACTCATAACGCAGATACCACAACGGAAGACCCCACCCCTATTTTTTTAATCTATTTTTTGGTCTGAAAATACGCTGATTTTGTCGTTCATTCACGCACTATTATTTCCTTCATCTTTCTACTCAACTGTTCAATGAACACAGTTGGTTCGAAATGGACAACAAATAAAAATAAACAGCGGTCATGAGCTGCATAAACAGAATCACCGACTATTCCGCGAACAGGATACAGACTTTTCCGTGAACCGACTCTTCCACGAACAGGACACCGGTTCTTCCGCGAATAGCTAATAATGTATTCTTTTCGCTTTTTCTGTACCTTTTCTCTGAGTACAAGAAAAACTAATATCTAATTCATAATCTCTAATAAAAACTGGATCGAAATTATTATTGAATAATTTCGTATTCGGTAGCGAGGTTTACTAATAGGATTGTACTGGACGTAGTCGCTAAACAGATTTTAAAATAGCTTTAACCTAAACTACGGACATACCAGATAAGAACCTCAAAAAAGAGAAACACTATCTGAAGCAAATATCTTTTATGTCAAACTACTTTTCGAGCACACTACCCAATCTATTGGGACACATAATATTATACACTAGATTCCAACCTTTTAACCTTAATATCATTGACCTTCATAAAAACGTGAGGAAGCGTATCCCGATCGGAATTAGGTATGATGCATGTAAGTCTCTAAAGTCAATATAACGATTTCTTTTCGTTCTTTCCATCATCATGAGAAAAAAAAGATTGTTTAATTACAATGATAACCAACGTCATTACCCAAACAGAAGAAAAGCCAACAACATCAACAACATATTGGTAACAGCCTAAAAAACGAAACACAAAATATTAAAGAAAGCAAAAAGTCATTGAAAGAATGGCTGCAAAATCTACGAATGATCAGAATAAAACGAACCAACGTTATTTCGATGTTGCCAATGAAACTGGAAAAATGTTATTGCCAATCGAAGGCTACCAGAATGTTGATTTAGTTACCCTAGAAAAAGCCATTGAACCATTAATCCATATTGTGACTGACATAAGTCGAAAAGCATGGGTGGCGAAAGAACTTTGTCAAACACCGTTTTCTGGTGACTTAAGCCATGATGAATTAGCTGCCATTATACTATACATAATGGGATGGTTACTCCATGATCGTTGCCTTTATGTTGTACTCAACGAAGCACTTCGTTCAAGAAACCGTCTCCAGCTATTGCCACCATGGTTTCTATATTTGAAACTCTTTTTAACAGCATTATTCAAACTACCATCAGAACGATTGGCGTGGTATGAAAATGGACTTGAGTCAGCAGTATTCGACCGGGTCAACATTGGTCTGGTGGGGTTTTAGTTCGTGTACAAACAGTTTAGAAGTATAGGAATCAGAACAGTTTTTAGGGGAGACAGGTACACGTACGCTATTCAATATAGATTGCAACAATGGAAAGATGATACAGCCGCGTTCGTATATAGGATCAGAAGACGAAATTTTATTATCGTTATAAAAGAAGTTTTCAGTGTGACACATTTCTCAGGCTTCCTGAGAGCACCGCAAAATGTAGAGCGCAGGGGACTCCGTCTCAAAAATAATTAAAAATAAGTTTTCTAAGAAAGTGCTATTACGGCGATAGAGCGACTTCTCGCATTTGTCTGAAATTTTTACTAGAGATATAAGACATTTTTGATCGTAGTTACAGAAAATTTCAGCTCGATCGGTCTCATATTTAATCCCCTCACCCTTACCCTTATATTTTATCCACGTTGCTAGGTCAAAAAGTCAAAAATTCAATACGCTCACAAAAATGTAACACAAGAGAACTTCTCTCTACCCGCACTAGCTCAAAATTTTTTGTCATTTTCCACCGAAGTCCATCCTTAAAAACTCAATTAAGCAGAAAAGATTATATTGTGATCAGCAGGTGAGACTCTATCATAATATGTGGTTTTGCACCGTATTCTCGCATTACGCGCACCTTTCACACAACTCTCGGATGACGATATATGCACTGCTTTAAGAGTGACAGTCGAAAAGAATGAAAGAGAGTTTCTAGATATGTAGTAATGATAGTGCATCAGAATTAGAGCGATAATTGTACATTTAAAGTCGGAAAAAACCACTATTCCTAAACAATCAATATTGCCAGAAAGTGCCAGTTATCATGTAGAAATTCTCAGCATCTGTTGTATGAGTATTACGTAATTGTATTTTCTTGTTTTGTCTATTTGTTAGTCTTCTTCCTCTATTTACTGTATTTATAAATCATAAACTGTATGATTTAACTATTTCTTACTGTTTCTTCATAGGCATAGATAGATATTTTTGTATTATTCGTTAAAAATAAACCTGTGGTAAATGTAACAGAGCACTGCTCGAGGAGATTGCTTCAGTCTGGCAAACAATATTCTTAAAGCGTGAAGAAACAAGACAAAATGCTTGGAAAGTTCTTTAAAACTTTTTCGGAAATGCTTTCTGTGGAAGTTCTGTGACGCGGGAAATTTTTTTTGAATTTTCAGCCAAATATTGCCGCATGAAAATTCTTCTCCACAGCTCAAAACAGTTAACTTAACACACTATTCTGTAATGGCTGCATACTGCTTAAAATAGACGAAACAATTAGAAAATAAGCGCTGGTTTGGGTACAGAATATTGACATGTTTCCACTGTTTACAAAGTAAATTATACAAAACATAAGAACTGTATATAAAGAAGGTATGAAAAACTCTCATTCAAATTTCTAAGAGCGATGTAATGAATAATTGACTAATACTTAGTTAGAAACTGAAAGTACATTTTACAACGTGTAGAACCACGTTTCCTCCTATAGACTACGGGTGTTCATTTAATTTTATTGTTCATTTATAATAATGGATAAATATAAATTTAAAAGATAAAGAAATGAAAAATAATTTATTATTTAAAAGATAAAGATAAATGATTTACTTATTTTTATAAAGTACAGATAAATGGATCATTTATCTTTATTTTACCTTTATTTTTTAAATATAAATGACGAACTTACCTTTATTTTATAAAACTACACTAAATTAACACCCCTACTATAAGCCATTCAATGTTATTTTCGAAGCCGCGCACAAATTAGCTACATATTAGAGTTTTGCTCTGATCTGTAAATTTCTCGAGACGAGTTTAATTATTTCTATCAGGTTTTGAGGGTTGACCTTGTACAGGACAAAGTAAGAAAAGAAAAAGTTTTATGTTGTAATTGAAATATTCATCTGTCTTATGGCTTAAGAAGATAGTCCTCGACATGAATTTAGCCACTACGCTTCCAGTTTCACGTACCCAAGCAAAAAAAAATGACCTAGAAATTAAGCTAGGTAGATCGGTCTCCTGTCCGGTGGAGCTAGCTACTCAACGTGTAGTCCAACCTAGAACCGAACGGTTAAGCTAGTTCTTCATATTATGGGAGGTTGTCCAATAGGTTAACTTGGCAGTCAACCGATCGGTGCAACTAGCTGTTAGTGGAGCTAGCGTCAACCGATCAGTTAACTATACAGTCAAGCTAGGTAAAAGAAGAAATATGTCAGGCAGATGGAGGTTGACCACTAGGTTAACCGGATCCGTGCAACTAGCTTTGAAGTGGGAATACGCAAGAGAAAAAAAACCTTTTTATGTTACATCGTTACTGGTCTAAAAAGGTTTTCTGGAAGCTCGAGTCTTTTACCAAAAATTTTCGTTTCTATATACAAACCAGAGTAAGAAGAGTCGCGTCGAATGGCGTAAAAATAAACTTTCTGGCTCTTATAATTTTCAGGAAACCCCAAATTACTATATCGAAAATGTTACCTTTGGACAAGCCGTTAGGATTTGATACGTCCGCACACGTTTAGCTACTAAAAATACGACTTACACGTGTCTGATGTGTTAAATGGTTCATTCTGGACGCATTTGACTACCAAATTTAAAATGTGTTTAGCCAGCAAGAACATTTCATGTGGGACAGAATATTTCTCAGTATTTCTGATGCTTGAAAATCAAATCGAATTTATCAGATGGAAAGGTTTGTGCTTCCTTTTAGATTTCAGCTGCAGATATTGAGTGAATTGTTCAACGTGTTAACAGAGCATTAAATATAGTTTACAGTATGTGTCGCAGTGCACCTCATAGAAGTGACGGTAACTCTGTTCTAAAATTTTAAACCGCGTCCATTCCATCACATCACTTTGTGTGCATTGCAAACGAAAAAGAAACATATCAGTGAACTGATAAGAAATACTTCCCATACAGAAACCATCTATGCAAAGGCAGAAAGTCTCTAGAAACATTTGAGAAAATTCAGTTAAATTTGCGATACCCAACGGGAGATATCAATCATTTACTGAATGGATAAATGAATGGGTATCAGGCGTCTGTCGTAGTTGACAGTTACTCGCTTTCGAAGTACAATATGAAGAGAAAATACTTGTTTTATTGCATATGGTAAAACACATATAGTAAAACACTTTGAATCATTCGAAGTAATTTACGTAACACAATACGACGAAGACAAGATTCTTATTGAATTAGAAGAATGTCATCGGACGATGATAATGATGAGGATGAGTGGTTATAATATATCAATCGATCATGTATATAAATATTATTTTATAATGTTATTTTCTACAAATGTCTATCGAAAACTAGGTTAACAGAAATGAACTGTCGGATGGCCCAGAATAAATGGCCTTGCTCGTATTTTGCTTATAATGTTTCTTTTCTTCATCCTTACATCTGATTGTTTTTTCAAAAGATGTGCCGTCAAACTCTCTACAGAACTTGATTAAACTTATTTCTACATACATCAATGACATAACATCGCGTAGACCTCCGGAACATTTCATTTTATAGGAAATTGTTTCTTCTACCGACCTAGATAGGTTTTGAGCCGTTTTGGAGAAGATAAGTTTTTCAGGAGATATTTAGAAAATTAGTTTGCCAAAGACTCTCTGGAAATCTACTCAGAAGATAATTGATATTATGAGCACGATAGTGAGCTGATTTCTAACAAAAGCAAAAAGTTACTATTCGAAAAAATCTTGAATTGGAACTCGTTTTTTTCACAGTTGAAAAAAATTATTTACTGATTGATAATCAGTATTGCTAAAAATTTTCCGATTTTTCAACCTAAAAAAACATAAGCATAAATTTCCTGGAAGCGGATGCGTGTGGCTAGAGGCTAATGAAACCCGAGTTTTGATATTCGGTCTAGATATCTGGTTAGAAAAATATCTTTAAGCAATTAACGCAACTTTTTCAAATTTCGGGTTTAAATAAATTTTATCAACTACAAAGAAAGATAACTTAAATCTACAGGAAAGAGAGCACTAGAAATTTTTCTTTTGTATATTAATCGTCCATTACTGCAAATATTTTCAATAAGTTTTCACATAAATATAGAAACTTTTTAGAAACTGTCTCACATTTTTCATACACGCACAAAGTAAAAAATGGCAAACAATCAGCCAGGAGCACCAGGTAAGTAATTTTCTTTTTCTATTTTCTACAATACTACTAAAGATTATTTTAGGTGGACATTTGTATAAAAATACTGGACAGATGCCGTTGACAAGCAAAAAATCAACTGGAATCATACGGTCTACAGCTGTTAACAACCATAAATGATGAACATTTGACTAAACATTTAACATCTGACAATAACGACATACTGATAAATATTATTAATAATGCATTTAGATGGATGGATATAAATATGGGTAAGTTACAAAAAACGTATAATTTTCTTTATTTTAGATGCTACTCCAGGTGCATTTTAACGAAAACTGAAGGAATTGAAAGAAACTTGATCACCATTAATAAAACCCAACAAAGGTGAAGGTAGAAAGCCTGTCAGTCCAGGAGAAGCAGCTATTCCGTCTTCAGTTTTTGAATCCTCTTTCACGGTATTAAAAGATCGGAGTGTAACCCACCAATATGGATTTACGTACAACTTGACATCGTCTTCATAGCGAACAATCTGATTTTAACCATGTGATAATGGAATCCCTTCCACTACCACGAAGACTCATTGGAGCTAACGAGGGAACCACCCGAGGTGATAAATCGATTTCAGGTTGGGACTATGTTTGTTAGAAAGGCCCTAACGAGTAGTGAAATACCCTATCTTGGTTCATCTCCATGGTGCTTCCTGGCAGAGTTATGAATTTTTCAAGTTTTCACACAAAAACTAAATTTTTTCGGAAAAGTTTCATTTCTCGGCTCCTAGAGGTCTAATTGGACTTATATTTTTTATATGAGTAGTGGTCGTGTACGCTATACTGTGTACGTATGTAAGTCGCTTTCGAGATATGGTGGCGCCAGTATCTTATGCATATTTCAGGGCTTCCGGCAAAACTCTCATAACTCTTAGAAGAGAATGCCAAAGATATGCCAAAAATTTTCGGCCCGTGCGGATCTCTGGTATTGAACAATTGCATTATACAAGCTGGTGCGTCGTTCTAGATTGATCATGATAGCATCTCCTAAATGTCCGAATCTGAGCAGAAAATACATAAGAAGTGCGTAGGCTTTTGTCTAGGGTAGTAGTCCTCCCCCAAGATTTTTCAATGGGACTAATTAATTCTGATGACATATTGTAGTGTACAGTATTTATTAGCACCTTCATTCACAGAATGTTACTGCAAAACAGATTATGCTTAAAATGTAAACTTCGCCAAGAATTGTAAAATCGACGAAGAAAGGACCGATCCTAAGATATCCTGACTATTGAACAACAAAGTCTTCTCAATCTGGACATTTGAAAGGCATTTTGAAATAGAGGGGGTCTTAAGTGGGAGTTGTTGAATCACAGTCATTTACTATTACTTAGTATATTGTATTCACTTTTCCTTTTCTTTTGTAATCACATATGTAGCCTTTTGTCATTCGCCCTCTCTTTGTGAATCAACAAATTTGAATTAAAACATGGATGCTACAAAAACAAAATTTACAAATCTATTATTAATCATTTTCAATCTATTATTTATATCATCCGCCACTATTTATATTATCTTGTCAATATTTTATAGAAATCAAGCTATTTTACTAGTTGTATTTAAACCACTACCCATATGGAGTATTATAGTAGTATCAAATATTTATTTTTTTGAGAATTTCAAACACATTCCCCGTACAACGTACTTATATATTCACATAGCATTTGGATTCTTATTAGCAGCATTACTATTTGGATCATTTGGTGATATTGTATTAGAAATTCCGACTAGTAGTGATAATAATTATTTTCTTTATGGAACACTTTTATTTCTATTCGGTCATATCTGTTATATAATTTGTTATTCGATATGTGCTAGGGAAACAAATGAACGACAATTATCTTGTTCATGCAATTTTTGGATAGATTTTGTCTATGGGTGGCCGTATTTATTAATTGTTCTATTGTTCGGCTCTGTGATGTTTTTGTTTTTATATTCATATCAACAACAATTGTCGACGGTACTTCTTATTGGAATTGCGCTTTATGATTTAGTTCTATGTTTATTGCTATGGAGGATGTCACAAACAATTCGAAATAGTTTAATTATTAAATATAGTAGAGCAACACAGCAGCAAGCTAATATTTATCAATACATAAGATTTATTGGTGCGTTCTTATTTGTTATATCAGATTCAACCAATTCCATTGCTAAATTTGTGCCCGTAATTAAACTTGATATGGCTCTACGAAATTTAATAGTGATGATAACATATTATATTGCACAATATTTATTAGCGTACTCATTCAAAGAATATTATCTCGAACCAGATATGCCATTATAAGAGAAAACACACTGTGCTTTAATTCCGAATTAAGAAACACAATATAGACATACTACTATAAGTTATAATCTTAAACGTTAATTGTTATTCACTTATTAATCCTTTTTTAAGATTATTTTTATGAACTAATTATAGTTTATTAAATTGTCATTCACAAATAGCTATAAAGGTTTGATTCTTGCAAGATTTCCCGGATACAAATATTTGTACATGTTGATCAATTACGAACATTAGCTCTACAATGAAATACTTCCCTTATTTGGTCAGTTAAATCTTTAGTTAAAGGTTGCATGGTTAGTTGTAGTAGAAGACGAAAATTTTGATGCCGCAGAGAATTTCGGTTAAGTTGCCTTGAAAAGTGATAAGAGAGTGGAAGATTAGTTTGGTCAGAGAAATCGAAGAAGTCAAAAACTGGTTTCATTCTACTTGTGAGATGTAAATCATGGGCAGAATATCCACTAAAAATAGACGCAACGGTATAGAAGATGCAATCAATATACCTTACAACGGCATCTGATAGCTATAAATCATCTGCACATGAAGTTAGTTAGTCCGTCCCCGGACAAACCAAATGATTGTTCATTCAACTGTATTGAACAAAAAGAAAAGAGAGTTGATTTAGTCAGATCTTTCTTTTCTGTTCATTGCAATTGAATGTATAAAGTAAAAACTTGTATGACTTGCCAGTTCCTCTTAATACAATTGAATAATCAATTTGGATACATTTGTATCCGCCTCTTTTAGTCCCCGTGGTTCAAAGGAATGTAATGAACGTCCTGCAGTTTTAGCAAGTTAGTCTTCTTCATCCATATTTAAACGTATGTTATGTGATCATGTTTAGAACTGTTCATTCCATTAAAATTTAGCAGTCATATGTTATCCGAAAACAAATTCCCAGCAATCTTATAGACACAAAACATAAGTCTTACGCCTATGAAAATTATCCGAGCAATTGCAAGAATCCCAGAATCCTAAAGACAGACAATAAGTCTAACGCGTATTCAAATCATCAGAACAATTGCATTAATCCCAGAATATAAGATGGATGGAGAAGTACTATGTGGGTGTACGAACAAATATATTATAGAAATGTTTGTTATTGCAGTGTAAATTTGCCTTTGCTGCCTAAGAAGTATTATGCATAATGTTCAGATTTTTCTAAGTTAGTTCGACATGTGCCTGGAGCTTGATCTCAGAATAAAAGTAAGAAAGGTGGATGCCTTTTGGTTCACCTGTGAGTTTAGCGTTAAAGTAACGTTTATCATATGTGAAAATAACATTCACGCTTGGACTTTTAGAGAATGTATACCCGTGGAGATTATCACGAAGGTCAATTCGTTGCTAGAGTCAATCTTACATCATGTGAATAGAATGGTACAGATCGGCATTGACATCCACTCATCTATGCGTTAAACAAAACTGAACTGACTTTTGCTACATTCCGAAAGTCATCAATGCAAAGTGGATTAGACCAAGGATAATCAGTTTTGGGTCTAATGGCCAGAGGATGCCGTTGCTACGACTTTAGATGTTTTTTATCGACAGCTTCACTTTGCCTAAAATATATTGCAAAAGAATCGCAATCAATAATTATCCATTCAGAATAAATTGAGATGGAAACATTCTAAATGCACTTAGACTACATCAGTGGTTTGAAGAAATGTATGTATGTTATTATATTTCTCTTACGCATATTTTTGAAACAGAAAGATTTCTTTTC